CAAAATCGTTACATAAGCATAGTTTACTATTCAGCCAACAAAGTTTGGACACTAGCAAAAAAATTCTTGAGCAACAAGACCATTATGTAATTATTTACCTGTGGCAAAATGACCCAAGGATGACATATCCCCTGTCAGACGCTTGCTAATGCCCATATCAGAAAGCTTTGCACTCAAAGTCGTCCCTTTACTTATCAATACATTTTGTGGTTTCAAGTCCCTATGAACTATTCCCAACTCATGCAAGTGGGCAAGCCCAAAAACTATATCTCTGCATCACAAAAGTACAAGCAAATCAGCAAACAAGTTTTAAAATTAATCTAGCTTCTATAATACGACATAATCTACACTTATCAAGACCATCTAACTAAGGTCGCTACCATTGATGTTCAAATGAAGCACATAACACATTTCTTAATCCAAGAATATTATGACATATGCATACAGTCCGAACCCAAAATTAACCTCATTAGTTTTAGCATAAGAGGTGATGGGTGGCCTCCCACTTTCCACAAATTGTTTCCTTCCATAAATCCCTCCAAGGAATCCAGTTTGATCTCATACGCAGCTAGTGCTTCCACAGATTCTCTGTTTCCCAGTACTTTTGTTATAGGTATATTTAAAAAGGTTCTGATCAGATCATCTAAACTGCATGCGCAACGCTCCAGAGAAAGGTAAACAAAATCCCGGTCATACTCAACACCGTACCACCTAATGATGTTTGAGTGTTGATCAGATGCAATGAGGTTCTGAATCTCCTTGAAAGCAACCTCATGATGGGATCTAACTAGTCGTTTTATAGCTACTGGTCGGCCTTCGTAACTACCCTCAAACACTACGGTTCCATTACTTCCTTTTGCAATTTCTTTATTCGATACAAACAGCTTACCAATCTTTCTCCCATCAGCAGGACAATTTAGAGTGTTATTGAAGCCTAGTAACATTTGACTTCCTTCAGTGAGCTCAAATTCTGACTGCCTATCCTTCCCTGATTTGCGGTTCTTCTTCTTCTTGGAAGGTCCAAATTTTGAATTCAAATCACCGCCGCCCGATGAAGATCCTTTTATGTAAAAAGAGATAACAGCACCAAGAAGAAATAAAGGGACCAATAACTTTACTGGCGACCATCTGAAACTTTTGGCAAACACAGCATTTTCCCATAACTTCCTTGACTCTCTGGTTGTTGCAGAGGGCAACATTTTCGCTTCATAGCCACTTTCAGTTCCCACTTGCTGATCCTGAGGCACCCTAATAAAAACCCCTGATCTAACAAGGGCACGGATATCAGTGTGATTACCACCACACCGCAACGGCATATAAATACCAGTGAGAATTTCAGGACCGAGATACTTGTCTTTATTGAAAGCTAGATCACAACGTAAATCAGCTCTGAAGTGAGAAACCGTCACATTCCACACAGGCTTCTGCGAGGACTTATCAAAATGCTCTAGCTTGGAATTTGTTCGTGTGATAAGAAGCTGTAAGTTCACCAGATTATCAGCTCTAGTGGGCTTCACCATAACATTAGTATTCTTATTATCTCCAGAAGAAGACTGTGTGGTTTTATAAACATGGAGTAGCCTCCCTGATAAACCATCAACCAAGTAAGTAGTAGATGTTTTGGACCCAAGAGTCAGACCATCATTAGTACACGCGGCATCTCCATAAGCAAGTCTTCCATAGTCTGCACTTAATAAGCAAATGTGTGCATGAGATATAAGTTAAACATGTAAAGAGAGATGCATGAAATGTTTTATACCTTTCTAGTATAGCCATCATCAACCGTTGTAACCTCAGACTTGTCTATGTATTCTACAACGAAAGCTTTGCTTATCTCGGTAGCGTTTTCTGTGTTGTTGACAACACTTAGAGGAGCTTGATAAGAGGAATGAATGGGTGATCCTGTTGAAAAAGACCAGATTGGTTTGTTTGATGGATGCATTATTAAAGATACTTTCCCAGAGAGATCAACGACAAGCTCCGTGTTTGGTTCTTCTCTTGAAACAAACACAGATGAAACATCACAACCAATAACAGAAAAGCAAACCATCAAAAAAGGTTACATTACAAAACCTAAAGCGAAACTCACGAAGACAAGAGCGATCTGCCAGCGGCTCGTCCGTATAGGGAGATCAGATTGGACGATTCAGCGGCGCAAGAAGATGTCCATGGTGACAGCAATAAGAAGAAGAAGTAGAGATGGCGGAGGAAGTGGCATGGTGGCATCGTCTGTAAGATATGGATCGGAGAGACGAGATGAGAGAGGAAGAAGAAGAAGAGATAAGGATTTAAGAATCCTCGCTAGGGTTTTTGGAATTGACTTGTGGGTAAAGTCAACAGAGAGATGCGAAGCTTAAGGTCAGAGACTGTGGTTTTGGGATTTCCCTGCCGTCCAGATTCGTCCACCCTCTGCTGCCCCCACCTTACTCCAATTATTGAGCCGTGTTCGAGCCGAGCCGAGCCGACGCGTTAAGCTTTTCTAATCTTTTAACAGTTTGTACTTTATTTTTAGGAAAATGGAAAAGAACATAAAACCCTCAAAACTATCCTTTTACTATTCGTAGTAAGAGCTTGGCACGATCTCTCACTTTCTCTCTTCGTGTCTCCACACGAGAATGTGGTAGAAGATGAGCAGGTCATAGGTGCACTGAGTGATATGGAGATACAAGAAGGTATTGAAGACAACACGGTTTATGATGATCAAGACAAGAGGATGACCTAATGGATGAAGAACTTATGGACATGGATGTAAAGTCCCATTCTTTGGCGGCTGGATCATCAAGAGCCAAGCCAGACACTAAAGTTTCAAAATACTCAAGGAGTGATACCAGAATGAATGCTCCATTGGGTATTCAAACTAAAAAAATTGAGTTCCTTCATCGAGGTTCTCCAAGAATGTGTTCAGTTTTATCTTCTGCACACAAGCCAAAGGGAGTGAAAGATAAGTTAAGGCGATCGCACCATAATTCCAAAAAAAACACAAGTGAGTTCAAGTAAGGATCGTGGTTTGATGGAGTCCCAATAACTCATCCACACGTCAGATATGAGAACAATCAGTTGGAACTGTCGAGGGATTGAGAATAACCTCACAGTTCGATGTCTTATGGAGATGTGTCAGAAGCATCGCCCAGGACTTGTGTTCCTTTCTGAAACGAAGAACAAAAGGTTGCTATTGCAAGATATTCATGCCGACTTAGGGATTTGATCATTTGTTTACCATTGAGCCACTTGGTCTCAGCGGTGATCTAACTTTATATTTTTATGGATGAATTCCAAGTTAATGTTTTATTTTCAAATAATAGAATGATTGACATTGAGGCATTCATTGATGAAATAAAAGTATTTATGACGTTTGTTTATGGGGATCCTGTACTAGAAAGAAGATATCAAGTTTGGGAAGTCTTACGCGTTTCTCAACATTAAGAACTCGACCTTGATTTATGATAGGAGATTTTAATGAAATCACATGTCACAATGAGAAAGAAAAAGGAAGACAATGTACTGATAGCTCGTTTCTATCTTTTTAAAAAATGTTAAGTGATTGTGGGATGTTAGAATTCCCATTCACCGGACAAGCTATCATGGGTAGAGAAGAGAGCATGACAAATAACCGTTAGATGCTAACTAGACAGATTGGCATGAGAAGTTTCCTCACTCGACTGTAAAGTACATGAGATTATGGGGATCGGACCATCGTCCGATTCTTGCTGATATACTTAAGAAACCAACGAAAAAATCTAAAAATTTCAAGTTTGATAAGAGGTGGTTGAATAATGAGAAACTTTGGCCAGTCATTCTGGATGGATGGAAATCTTATGATCTTTCTCCTAACGCAAATATTATGGAACATATTTCAAGCTGCCGGAGAGCTTTGAGTGAGTGGAGGAAACAACACAATATAAACTCAGAAAAATTAGTGGAAGAGCTAAAGGAGAAGGTAGAGGGTCTGTACGCAGAGGACGATGCTACAACTGAGGAAATTGCAGAAGCATTGAAGGAATTTTCTGATGCTCTTAAGGCAGAAGAAGTGTTCTGGAAATAAATAAGTCGAATTTTCTGGCTAAGAGAAGGCGACAAAAACACAAAATTCTTCCATGCACTAACAAAGCAAAGGAGAGCAAGGAAAAAAATCACACAGCTTATAGATGCAAATGGAAATATTATTGAAGATAAAAAAGGGTTGGTGGCCACTGCCACTAGCTATTTTAGGCAGATTTTTGAGTCTTTCAGCCTAGAAGATATAGATGAAGCTCTTTGTGAAGTATCCACGATAATTACTAGGGCTATGAATGGCAATCTCATAGCTCTGGTTACTGAATGGGAGGTTAAATTAGCATTATTTGCTATGCATCCAGAGAAGGCTCCAGGACCAAATGGCATGACAGCTCTTTTTTACCAGAAATTCTGGGATATTTTACAGGAAGATTTAACTCTTATGGTTAATAAATTTCTATTTGATGGGACGATGGCCAATGGACTAAATGATACAAACATATGCCTCACCTCGAAGACAACAAAGCCTAATGAGATGTCTTAGGTCAGGCCCATTAGCTTGTGTAATGCCAGTCACAAGATAATCTCTAACGTCTTATGCTAGAGGTTAAAAAGTTCTACAAAATAGAATTTCTGAAACCCAGCCTGCCTTTGTAGCTGGAAGACAGATTTCAGACAATATCATGATTGCACAAGAAATGTTCCACGCCCTAAGAACTAAACCAAGCGAACGCAATAAAAGGATGGCCATTAAGACGGATATGAGCAAAACGTATGATGGGATGGAATGATCGTTTATTGAAGCTGTCTTGCGAAAGATGGGTTTTCTGAGGTATGGATTACCTGGATAATGCGATGTATTACGTCAGTGAAATACAAAGTTGTCATGAATGGGCAACCAAGGGGAAATATTGTTCCAGAAAGAGGTCTACGTCAAGGATATCCTTTGTCTCCTTTCATCTTTATTCTATGCACGAAAGCACTCGCTAGCCTTCTCAATCATGCAGAGAACCAAGATAAGATAACGGGGATGCGTGTCACTCGCGCATGTCCTTCAGTATCTCACCTTTTCTTTGCTGATGATACATTTTTCTTCTATAAGGCAGAGCCCCGTGAATGTGAATAAGTGATAAAAGTAGTTAGGAAATATGGACAAGCATCATGCCAATGTATAAACTTTGAGAAATCCTTCTTACTCTTTGGTAAGAAGATTAACGCAACTGTCAAACAAGAGATTAAAGATACACTTGGAATCCATAATGAAGGAGGAAGGGGAACATACTTAGGTATCCCAAAAGATATTAGCGGATCCAAATGTAAACTTTTTTCTCAAAGACAAGTTAATGCATAGAGTGAATGGATGGACATGCAGATGGATTTCAAGGAAAAGAAGTGTTGATTAAGTCCATCCTACTAGCTCTTCCAACATATTTTATGTCTAGCTTTCTGTTACCATGGAGATATTGTGAAAATCTTGCAAGTGCCATTGCCTCAATTCTGGTGGATTTTAAACCCCCCCCCCCCCCCC